CACATCAAAAGCCATTGTGAATGGATGTCCCAAAAGGGCTTTTAGTTTGTTATACAATGTCTGACCGTAAGTGACTCCAAATGGTCTCATTAGCCGTGTTATGCACTTATCTATCCCTTCGCACACTTCTTATGGCTTTATATAAACTACACTATAATATGCTGTAATAAACTATATTATTATCAATGGCTATATGTTTTGCACCGTTTGGTCACTTGATTTACATGGACTTCAATAATGTCTGAAATAGATATTTTGAATATTTCAAACATAAATCATTTTCATAAAACATAAACATAATAAATTGTAAATTAAATGAAAGCTCATTTATTATTATAATCTAAAATATTCTTACGTTTACTTTTATTTTTACAATATTTTAAGTGTTTGATTAAATGCTAAAACATTTCAGAAAGCAATTCTTAATAACAAATATAAAACTATTTATAACAACTGTTTGTTGGGAAACAGCTTAAAAAGTATTTTAAAATTAATATTTAGTCAAAACACAAATCATTTTTATTAATATTTTATGAAAATTTAACGAGACGTTTGTTTTTCATTACATTTCAAAATCAAATATTAACACTAAAAACGTATGAGAAAAATAAATTAATTTTTTCCTTCTGTTGAACTAATATTTCAATAAAAATAATATTTGCAAAGATTTCTTTCATGAATGACTGGTTTAAAGGAAAGCCAACTGACGTTCAAATATAATAAACCGAAAGCGCCTTTCACTCCCATTCCCATATCAATAGGAATGCCTCACATATTATATTATATTAATATTATATAATAGTTATATATACCAGTATGTGTTGAATATATATTCAAATGAATTCATCTGTAATTTTAATATGCGTTCAGTTTCTCTCTCTCTCTCTCTCTCTCTCTTTCTTTCTTTCTCTCTCTCTCTCATACGTTTTTAGTGTTAATATTTGATTTTGAAATGTAATGAAAAACANTTTTCTCTCTCTCTCTCTCTCTCATTCAACACACACACACTCTCTCTCTCCCCCATTCAACACTCATTGTATGGCTTAATGTTTGCTGTTTTGATAGAAAAATAATAATATAAAATAAACTCAATTTTAAAAATAAGACTCAAACGTGTAAAAGCGATGTATATAATAGGGTCTCGAATGCAATGCAATGTGTGATTGTGTAAACTTTTTTAATGTGTTTTCATTTCATTTGCATTCATTATAAAGATAAATGAAATTCTCTGATAATAACAAAATACTGTATGGTTTCGTATTTTTTCCATTATTATTATTAACTCTATTTTTCGATAGAATTTAATTTACTTTTTTCATTTAGACTTGAAAAGAGGTTTTTTTATAATATTTTCTTTGATAATACGTTTTGCACACAGAATGTGAGGGTTTTGTGTGCGGTGTTAGCGTAAGATTAAAATTTTAATATAAACTCTTTAATTTAAAATACATATCAATCAAAAATAATGCAATTCATAGTCATTAAAGAATAACAAATTTTATTACAATTATTGATTAAATTTTTATTAAAACACTATTTACTGTAAAATAAAACTCTTTTGTGTAGCATGCTCCCATAATTTGTTTTAGTAATCAATAATTCAATAAATACTGAAAATTGAACCCAAAATATACTGCTATTTATAAATATAGTGAACGACAACAACACAAATAATGTATAGCAATATATAAATCCTTTTAATAATAAGAGAAAAAAAGGATTTTGTTTCACAGAATGAGCTAAAAATGAAAATGTTTTTTGATTGTAAAAAGTGTTGCAATGAATGAATAACTGAACGCTTCTATAGCTGTCGCCATCGTTTGTTAGACGCCTAACAATATTATACATTATTCACAGAATATTACAGAATATTACAGAATATTACAGAATAACACAATTCTCTTATTTCAATGCATTAGAAATTCTTGTCTATAATCAAAGTTGTGCACAAAAAGGTCTCTCACTCCCTCTCACATGCACTCTCTCGCCCTCTCACTCACTAATAGTAAGCAAAATATGTTTGTCCGCAACGAATAAATACAGGAAAAAGATTATTATTTGAACCGAAATGCTTGAAAAGGGAGAGAAAACGCTTAGGCAATGATTTTTGTACTCAAGAATTGATTGCATTTAAAAGCTTTTACAAAGATTTTTGTGATTTTTTGCTCCTATTTTTGTTGGATTTATACGATTCCTAACACAAAAACTACATCTGCACTTGTATTTCGATACTCTCTCTCTCTCTCTCTCTCTCTCTCTCTCTCTCTNAATTTATGACACTTTTAAAGCAAATAGTTTTGTTTGTTTTTGTTTCAGAGAAGTTTATTGCACTTTTAAAAACATTACGTTCAAAATGCAATGCATTAAAAAACTATTTTTGCAAAAAAATGTTATTTTTCCATTTCGTTGTTATTTATATTTATGTTATAGTTTTAGAAACGGTTTTTAATAAAGTTTTGTTGCTATCATTCATTCATTGAATTGAATTCTAATCTAAAGTTTTGCTACTTTTTCTGTAGACAATTAAATTCAATACAAATACGAACTAAACATTTCAGTAATCGTTTGAGTCAAACGAACCGAAATTAATTATTTTTCAGTTGTTTTCAAAAGAAAATACAAGTTTTATATCAAATTATATCCATGAAATCTTTTAAAATAATCTTCAAATTTAAATAAATAAAAATCTAAAGTCGTTTAAATTGGATTTAAAATTTTAATGATACTTTAATTAATAAATACTAGATTATACTTAAAATGCTAAATATTTGAAAAGAGTAAACAATGTTAGCTAATTAAAAGTAAAATATCATGTAAATTTAGTTCAAAACTCAATTAATAAATGAAGTATTGCATAAATAAAATATTATCATTTTTTATCATGGTAAATAATATTTTAGTTAATAAATATGTTCATTATTAAATTTTATAAAAGTACATAGAGTATTGTTAAAATTAATATAATATCATTAGTAATCCTTATCTCTCTTTATGTTATTTTCTGAATATCAAGAATATTATTACATTAATGTTTATAAAGTTAATATCTTATTACATTATATCAATATATAAATAAATCTTTATTATATATGAATAGGTTTTCATTTATCAATTTTAATATCAAATATTTTACGATTGAAACGAAATGTCATTTCATTATTCATTATATTTAATAATTGTTAGCCTCTATTGATTTGGCTCTTTTCATTCATTTAATGCATTTTCATAGAATATTCTGTGTGTTATTAAAAAGGATTTTTAATGAGAAATATTGATTTATAAGAATTTGCTTTTGAATTATTAAATCTAACGTAAAGTCAAATATATTAGATTTTATGCATGAGTTGACACATTCATTGAAAACAGAGTTTTATATTTTATTGGTTTCTAACGAAACATTAAATTATTGATTCATTAAATTAATTAAATTTTGCAAAAATATTTTTTTAATGCATTGCATTTTGAACGTAATGTTTTTCAAAGTGCAATAAACTTCTCTGAAACAAAAACAAACAAAACTATTTGCTTTAAAAGTGTCATAAATTAATTTAATTTTAATTTTAAACTTTTTAAGCCATAAAATATAATTTCATTTAACTTTATTACTCATACAAACAAATGGATATTTTTATCATTAATTTATTTCCAAGAACTTAATCTGTGTATAAAAATATCTATTCAACAGAAAGCTCATTTTTCTTACCATTCATTTGATTATAAAATAGTTTTGACATTCAATACGTTTGGCATTTAAGTATGACTAGAAATCAAATTATCAATGTCTTATTGACAAAAACAAACATCTAAAGTATATTGAAATGAAGTTACGATTTATTTTGCTTTATAAACAGAGAATAGTTAGAAACCCCAATTGAATATAATATACATTTTGGTTGCAAACAATTTTCTCATTTAACGTTGTTTAATACATTTACCATTTTGTATATTACACATCAGACTAAATGTTTCTCTAGGTTTAGATGAAAAATATTTAATAATATTTATGGAAATTACAGCAAATATATGCAGACTTTATAAACAATGAGCTTTTAGATTAAGGATTTTATGATTAATTTGTTTTGAAGTGTATGAGTGAAACATATTAATAATATTTGTATACTTTTAATATATTTATATATTTTAACTTATAAAGTTAACTTAAAGAAGCACTTTATTTATTATCTTAAGAAACTTCATGTAATCTATTTTGAACTTTGTTTTATAATTTTTATTATAATAAATTATGTTTACAGTATTTTCTTACTTATTAATATACTTTTTAAATGTTTCCAAAATTATTGACTTTTTAAGCAGAAGTTCTGTTTGATTTGAATTTTAGTTATCAAAATAACTTTTCAAACTTATCCAAATATTTTCCAGTTTGTTTATTATGCAAAATTATATTCAAATCTTATTCCCACTTGATTTCCATTTTTAACCAAATTTATATAATAATAATAAATTTAATAAATACAACCCACTAGCTGATTAATATTGTAAAACTATAACTAATCAAATATTTTAATTTATTTTTAAAAATTTATTTATTCAAAAACTTATGATTTAATTTATTATTTGATTGACTAGTTATCATTAATTAAAGAAAATTGTAATAATAAAATTGCCATATTACTTATAAATACTAACATTTTTTAGGGTAAAAATCGATTACAATTATTACTATTGATTATTGTTTTAATAACCACACAATGTTATTCTTATGGGGTTAATTAAACAGTATAGGATTTATATGCTGTGTTAATTAAATGATATAATCATGAATTTGAGCACACATTATAAAGTGGATATAAAAATAAGTATTGATTTTAATATAATTAGGTCTTAGTTTGATAAAGTTTTAATTTGAAATATAATTGCAAAAAGACTTACTTTAATCTTCTGCTAAATATTTTAATTAATGTTTTTATTCAGCTATAGAAGAGTGAAATGAAAATTGATTTTTATATTTAAAGACTTATTTATATTGAATTTTTATTTGCGTTAAACGAATGGAATTATACATTAATATTACAGTTAAAATGATATTAATTATAATAATTGGAATAAATTTAAATTATATATATATAATTATATTATATAATAGCGATTGTTATATAATATTACTTTTTCTCGAGTTTGACGAGTGGTTTCCGGTCGATGGGAGGCCTCTTATTATACATATTTACAGCGGTTCTAAGTTTCAAATTTTTCGCTCCTTTATAATAATTGCACCAAAATTTGTCACAGAATCAGAATATGTATCGGAATGAGAAAGGTTTGTTTGAATGGTTTGGAAATGATATTATATTTGAGAGATATATAGGAGTTGATGGGTAACTACTTGCCATCACTCAACAGCGAGTCAGGGCTACCATAACCACTGGACGCGTCGTCGGCCGGCGGCTGCCGGTTGTGGGCCGGCGGCGACGCCAACGACTCGGTTTGCTTCTTGAGACGGTCTAAGCTGTTGTAAGCGCCGCTCCCAAACGTCACCAACTCGTCGTAGTCGTATTCACACAGAATCCGGTTGTCGTACAAATAAAATCGGTCCCCAATGCAGAAGCTGTCCGTGAAGTCAATCATCAATACATTACTTCATATCACTTCACATGCTATCAATATTTCTGTGTAATTCTGTGTATGTTATATAATGTGCTACCTTTGTATCTCATTATATGATATTGTTTTTGTAATCATACTCTAATTCGTGAATAATATACTGTCACTAAATACATAGATTTGTTTATAGAAATAGAAATATTTATTATTTAAACAAAACGAAAAAATGTAATTAACTATACTTTTGGCTATACATTACGCTATAATAAAAATATTATTAATAATAAGTTTCTCTATAATTGTGTTCTAAAGCATGGGATAAAAGACTGTTTTTATGTTATAAACCAATAGTGCGCTAAATGTTAATTAAAATGAAAATAATTTGCTTCGAAAAATATTACATTAAAAAAGACAAAAAATGAATATTCAATTAAACACATTAATAGTGACTAACATTAAGGCAACAAATACTGTAATTACTTCTATTTTGGACCCAAAATTAATTAATTTTTTAATTGGTTTTTGAAGTGCATTACACACTACTTGAGAGCACAAACATATATAGAGAGCACACACTCACCGATGGCTACATTGATTGCATTGAAAGCATTCCACTAAAAGAAAATAAATTAACAAAACATTAGAGAGAGAGAGAGAGAGAGAGAGAGAGAGAGAGAGAGAGAGAGAGAATAATTAGAGGAATGGTAGAGTGTATGTCAAGCTATACTCACAATGATAGACATGTCCCCCACGAACCCTCATTACCATTTCGAAAGCAGGAATTGTTTTATTACAGGCAGAGCACAGGCCAGTCGTTCCGAATAACCTTATTTTGAAGACATGACACAATCAGACAAAACCAATACTTAATTAAAGGCAATTGAAACATCAAGAAAGTAAATGTTTCACCACTGGTTAAACACATGTGACTGTAGTTGTGGTGATTGGGAAGTGAGACAGTGGGAGACAATGGGAGACAATGGGAGACAATGTGAGGCATACCTGAGGTAATCGCGTTTGCAGAGAATGAGGTTGGCTTTGGTGAAGAGAGTGGAGCCAACCTCCCCGAGCCGACAGTCACAACAGGCACACTTGAGACAGTCCTCGTGCCAGAGCTGGTCCAGGGCTTTGAGGAGATAGCGCTCGCGGATGGCCTTATGACAGGCGGCGCACTCAGGCGTCCCGTTGGCCGTCATTTGGGTGAGCGGTTGTCGCGTCGCTATTATGGCAGCCGATGACGACTTCATATCCATAACTGCTTCCAGTGTTTGCTTTGATTCACACTTTAATGTGAATATAAATTGAATGAAATAATTGAAGGCTCGCCTGCAATACAAAGATATCCGGATTAAAAGAGTGAGAGATTGCCTAAGAATTAAGAGAATCGGCACTTGTATTGAGAGGGAGTGTACAGAATGTAGAGCACCGGGAGTTTTATGTAAAGAATTTCAGTTTCAGGTCGAGCACTGAATTATTGGGTTATAATATTTGACGCCTATTTCTGTTTTAACTTTAATCGGCTTAAAGGCAAAGCAATTCCATATATTTTGATCACTTCATAGCTTCATATCATTTAATTATATCATAAAAATAATATTTATTAAACTTTTCTCTCTCTTTTCAACACAAAATACAGTTGTTGTTGAATGTAGTAAATGGAGTGAGAACTCAATGCACTATAAAAGCATTTATTAAATTTGTAAGAATTGCCAGAATAAGAGGCATAGAGTGCGGACTCACGGCTTATAAATACAGCCAAATATACTGTAATAACGAATATCAATATAAAGAGATTTCAATACAAAAAGAAAATATTTGCCGTTATATTGAAAGCTATATTGAAATGCATTCAAAGTCCTGAACGAAGAGCACTGAAAGACTGCACTAAAGAGTCGCTGCAAAAGAGTGTAAAGTGTTGTGATTTCCGCTGTTGTGCGACAACAGCTTGTCCTCTCTCTCTCTCTCTCTCTCTCTCTCTCTCCCTCCCTCTCTCTCTCATCCACTTTTCTCATTGTATGGTATAGTCTATGAGTTTATTTGATGCCTCTGTGCTCTCCTATTAAATCATAAGATCTTAATTGAAATCTTGTCAAAACACAGACAACAGCCAACGAAATACACGTGTCATACGTGTCCATAGCAACCATTCTCTCCCTCTCCTCCGAGTCTATCAAAAGTATTATTTCTCATCTCATACTCAATACTCTCATACATTCTTATTGAGCACAAATAGGTCTGCTCTCCACTCACACACAGTATTAGTATTGCCAGTAGTGCTAGTATTAGAGCACAGGGAGGGAGGGGAGAGAGGGATAGCGAGTTAGGCAACTGTTACCAGAATCACAATAATAGGCAATTGAAAGGTTGGAGCGATTCATAAGAATGACGGAATATCGTTTGGAAAACATAATAGCATTGCATTGAGTGGCGGAACGATTGAACCGCACTATTGTCTGCACAACACTATCGCCACAACACTCACAACACTCGCTATAATCATGTTTGTCATATAAAGGGATTAAATGGAAATTCAATTAAAACCCAAACACATTGTCTGTGTATGTGTCTAATAAAATTGTGTGTCAATTAAATTTAATTTACATTATACTCTAATTAAAAATTATTTAATTAGCGACCAAATGGTTACGCCGTTGAGTGTTAGCCAAACACAAGTAGCGCTGAACACAGTTTGACAAAAGTTTCTCATAATATAATACAATAGGCTATCGAACGACACAAATGACAATTGAAATGAAAGCTAAACTCATATGAAAGTGAGGGTAAGGCCAGGAGGAGGAGGAGGAGAGACTCCATAATAGGTTATGACATCGATGGCAATCATATTATCCATACATAGTTACCAAATGTATTACTATAATAACATTCTTTGCCCACATTTTCGCATCGATTCCATTCAATTCAATGCAATTACAGCATAAGTCAGTCACCTATTCCTCGCACAACAGTTGAACACAAATTTCCATTTTCTCTCAATTATCGTCTCTTTTTGAACCCAAACTACGGTATGGTATGACTTACTCTCGCATTACATACTCTTTATATTATATTACATCCAACACTAAACTCTATTATCTCTCAGTTATAACACAACACAAACATTTTGCCTCTTTTAACAAATTATTATTATTATTACTCTTAGTCTTAAGGCTTTGCTAACATTTTCTGTTATTTCGTATAATGTCAGCAAAAATAGCAAAAGAAATTGATTTCAGAATATTGTTTGTATTACTATTGTGGAGATGTAGTTAAGGCGGAAATGGCCTAATAGTGGCTCTCATATCAAGAAACCCTTATTTAATGTGTAACTCATGTTGGGTTTGTAATGTTGGGCTCATAAAACTAATTATGTTTTTATCAAAAATTGATATAAAATATTTATTTTACATTTTATTTGACATGTCATGAATTTTTAAAATATATTCTATGAGAATATACAGAGTATAAATGTGAGAATATTTATAATTTGTTTAACAAGTAAATCCAAGTCATTAAATGAATGACATGTGAATAAAATACTGTCTGAAAGTTTAATACACGATTTATTGATATAATATTTATACCCTTTCATTGAGGCATTGATGTGCTTTTTATTAGCACTTTCTTATTGAGAATCTCTTGGAATGAAGAATAAAAAGAAATTATTGTAAAAATGAGAATAAAATAGAGAGAGAGAGAGAGAGAGAGAGAGAGAGAGAGAGAGCAAAGTGAGAAATGAAACACATTTGCAGTTGTGATAGAAATGGAAAAATAGTTTTTTTATGTGGAGTCAAAAGTCGAGTCTTTTGGCAATAATAGTATCTTTGAAAGAAAAATAGAGAGAAATGCGATCACAATATATATGAGGGAATGGATTGCAATTCAGTGAGAATCGGGTAATGGAAGGACCCGTTCAGGCGTGTCATCAGTCCGTTCCTAAGCCTAATCAATGTGTCAGAGAGAGAGAGAGAGAGAGAGAGAGAGAGAGAGAGAGAGATGCAGAAAGAGAAACCTGTTTTCTCTTATGTGACAAATAAATGAATTTTTTCTATTAATATGAAAATCAAATAAATATTGATTTTTAAAATTT